CGGTTAAAATCTCGATTTAGCTTGTCATAGGCGGCTTTCCTTCTCTCTCATCCTAGTACAGACATCAACGAAGAAAAAACTGAGGATCCAGAAGAAAAAAAACAACTGTAAACCGAAACAGAACCAAAACTAAACCGCGAAGTACCTGTGAGCTTCTACATGTGAATGGGCTTGTCATAGGTAGCCATGGCAGCTTCCTTGATAGCCTCACTCATTGTGGGATGAGCATGACAGACTCGAGCAATGTCTTCACTAGACGCATCATAGTTGATCGCTAGAACCGCCTCATGGATCAGTTCTCCTGCGTTTGGTGACATTATGTGAACACCCAAGATCTTGTCTGTTTCTTTATCAGCCAAAATCTTGACCATTCCCTCTACAGTGTCTATGGCCTTGGCTCTGCTATTGGCCATGAACGGGAATTTCCCAACCCGGTAGCTTACACCGTCTTTCTTCAGCTGCTCCTCGGTTTTACCCACAGAGGCAACTTCGGGATATGTGTAGACAACCCCAGGGACTTTTTCGTAATCCACGTGGCCGTGTTTGCCTGCTATAAATTCAACACAAGCGACACCGTCTTCTTCGGCTTTGTGAGCCAGCATTGGTCCTGGGATCACATCTCCAATTGCATAAACGCCTGACACATTTGTCAAGAATCTCTCGTTCACCAGAATTCTCCCGGCTTTGTCTGTTTCAACTCCGATTTTCTCCAGATCAAGTCCAGAGGTGAACGGAGTTCTACCTGCTGAGACAAGGACCACATCAGCTTCGAGGGTGGTTTGGTCTCCACCTTCTGCGGGTTCCACTGTGAGCTTCACACCATCTCCGGATGAATCTACACTAACGACTTTAGTCTTGAGCATGAATTTCATCTTTTGCTTCTCTAGTGAACGTTGAAACTGCTTGCGGATTTCACCATCCATTGCCGGTACAATATCTGATGCAAACTCAACAACTGTCACCTCTGATCCAAGCCGTCCCCATACAGAACCCAACTCGAGACCAATATAGCCAGCACCAATGACGATAAGTTTCTTTGGAATATCTGAGAGAGAAAGTGCCCCGGTTGATGAGACAATCTTCTTTTCATCGATGGTGATACCAGGCAAAGACTTGACATCCGATCCAGTTGCAACTATGATATGTTTGCCTTTCACAACCGTGTTTTCTCCATCGATAGTGTCCACAGAAACTTCTGTCGGGGACAGAAACTTACCGTATCCCTTAACGTAGTTTACCTTGTTCTTCTTGAACAAACCTTCTACACCGCGAGTGAGATTCTTGACGGCTGTGTCTTTCTGAGCCAACATAGCAGGAAGATCTACCTCAACCGAAGAGACTTTAACACCGTGGTTAGCAAAGACGTGCTTTGCTTCATGGTACATGTGAGAAGAGTGAAGCAGAGCCTAATAAACAAACAAAACATGAAAGCTACGTTAACAGTCTAAAAAAAAAGTTTCCAATCAGCAGAAGCTAATAACATTACAAAGATTCATCAAAGCTATCAATAGGCCAGGCAAACAATTACAGAGCGAGGAAGAGCCTAGTATAATCCGAAACAAAAAGTACTGTTACTAAAGGGAAATGCAAACGAGGTGATCAAGATATACCAAACATTTCAAAGGCCAAGTTTCCAACACTAATTTCATTTCCGTGGAATCAAGCACACACAGAACTCAGGAATACATGAAAACGAGCTCAAACAGATCTGAAAACTGAGTAATTATCATCACCAATATCACTTCTTAAACCTCGAACTCAATCTAACCTCAATTCGTAAAGACATAGATCGAATCTCAATGATGATCAAAGAACAAAATCAACAGGAGACGAGCAAAATTGGAGAAAGCATCAGGCGAATCGAAGTTTTTGACAAAATAGAAAGCTGATTCCGAGACGGGGAAAAAGGAGTTTCTGAATCGCACCTTCGAAGGAATACAGCCGACGTTAAGACAAGTACCACCGAGAGCACCACGTCCCTCGATGCAGGTTGTCTTGAGACCGAGCTGCGCCGCCTTAATCGCCGCCACGTAACCTCCAGGACCACCGCCGATAATAACAACATCGTTCTCGTCGGATCCCGACGAAGCGAAGCCGCGGGATAGGGAGAAAGAGAATCTGAGAGCGTCAGTGTGAGAATTAGAGATGTTTCTGGTGAGAAAGTAGGCCTTTCTTCTAGCTAAGCTCGCCATCGCCATCGTTGTTGTTTTTCTTCTCCTTCTTGTCGAACTTTCTT